GTTCTGTGATTCTGTGATTCTGTGATAATGCACTCAAATATCTTATGGATCATGACACTGAGCTGCAAAACTAGCTACCAAGGTAACTGATAGATCTTAGAGGGGTTGTGTTCTTTAACGTAGTCAACAAGTTTTGCTCAGCTATACAACAGGCAATTGCAAACCTTGGGATGCTACTATATAAACAAAATACTTTTGCAGTTGAAACATTTATCTTAGATTTTGATTACTGCAGCAGGCATAAGAAGCTCAACTGTGATGTTAGTGCATGCATGTGGACTTAATGAGAATTATTCAGATTTATGGTTAGTCATCTGTTTGTTAAAATCTTATAATTTTTATTAAATTTTGGGAGAAAACTTTAATTGGTCATGAATTTGAGGTACATCTGAAGAGAAGAAATTTGAAGCATCTCTGCAGACTGTTTGTAAATTAAAGGAGAACATCAGTACAAAAGGTGAATGGCTCATGTTTTCTTTCTTCTGGAATATTTTTTACATCCTTTGAGCCTGTTGTAGCAAAGGCAAAAATAGTCACAAAGTTTCTCTTGACCTTGAATACATTATAACTAAATACGAAGTAACTGAACAGGAAAAAGTATAAACAGCCCTTGAAACTAGGATAAGAAACTCAGGCTCTACAATAGATGAGGACTTGAAAAGAAAGTAGGTGAAGTCCTGCCCTTTATCATACCCAGAGAGTAACTAAAGTAGCTTAAGCTGGGTGTGTTTGGCAAGAGAATTTGATTTCTTCTATTGGGCTAGATGTGATCCACGTTTTTCATAGCTCCTCAGGGCATTTAGACACAAAAATGCCTAAATTAATTATTTTTTATGAGTGACACAGGTATTTAGCAGTAAAAAATGGAGTGGAGGAAGAAGGTGAGAGGTGGCTTCCAGGTCAATCATTGCTCAGGCATTCACTGTGCATTGGCCTGCTTCTGGGAGGTAGAGTGTGATTGTTTCTGCATCTTTATCTCAACCCACAGGTTTCCTCATTTTTGCTCTTCCCATTCTCCCCCATCAAAGTCCTGTTGGGGACAGGGAGTGAGGTAGCAGCTATGTGGGTTCTTGGCTGCTAGCTTGCAGCAACCCACAGCACCTCAGAAGTCTTTGTGAAGAAAATTTTCTTCTAAAGACACACTTGGTTATTTGTGCTGTTTTATGTTGGATTATCTCTTGATTTAAGAGACAATTGTGTCATTTCAGGGCTCTATTAGCTACCATAATACAATATTGCATGGCAGGTAATGCAAATAATAAAGATATACTCAGTGGAACCAGAACAGACCATTGATCTGTGATTCAGGAACACTTTGTTCACCTTGTTTATCTCAGCATATCTGTTCTAAAGAGCTTCTAAAACCCACAGAGATACATTACAAACTCTGTTTTCCACTTCTGGTTCACTTTGATTACATTTCTTACTCAAGATGACTCCTCAGTAAAATTAGCCTGCCTCAATAAGCAGGACACAAGCAGGGCAAAGAAGTGGGAAAGAACAGAGCTTAGAGCCATGGCTGCATTCTTTTTCCCTGTAAAGGCCATTTACTGAGGTGTAGGAGAGTACCCCCTGCAGACAGGAAGTGACACCAGAGAGGAACACATTCAAATAGCTCAATTTATTTCTCAATAAAACTAACACCAGTCTACCACCTCATGCTGAGCTAGCCGTATCCCACATTCTACTAGCAGCTGCAATAGCTGCTTCATCCCATGCAAACAGCTGCCATCTGCCTCTTCCTCCCTCTAGCAAGAGCAGCAGTTCCATTCATCCTCTTGCACTCGTCACTGAGAGATGAGCTGTTAGGGAGGGCTGTAGAGTATTTCTGGTTGCACTAGTTTTAGATAAGTGAACTACTGCTGTAGCAGGGGTAGGAGCAGTGGGCAGTAGCTTTTGCTGGAAGAAGCATCATCTCAGATCTCTCAGCAGCTGATGACATCCAGCCGCTCAAGCACCTGTTTGTCATCTCCTCTGGGAAAAGGTGTCAAGCTGGATGGAAGTGCATTAGTATTTTCCCCACTTACACTGACAACTACTTGACTGCTGTTGTTGCTCATAGCGTGTATAGAATAGAATTGACCCAAGGTCCATATTTTAAAGTCTTTTACCTAACACTTGCATTTAGTAATTCCAGCTAGGTTCATTTTCTGCTTGTAATGAATAGCCACATGAAATGGCTAAAGTTAGAGTTCGTAGGGTTATCTGGCACAAAGGGTATCTGACCTATCACCAGGAATTGTTTGTACCACAATATATAAAGTACATAAAGTCTGTGTGAAAGTTTACTTCCTGTACTGGCTCTAATGTTTAACATGAATGCAGCATTTCCTATAAAGGTGCAGGTATTTTCAGTTCTGCAAATAAAATCTCTGTTATTTCTCCTCTCCTTGTAATTTGCTATATTGTGCTCATTCTATTTGCTATCTATTCATCTGAGAAAATATTAAAGTAAATTAAGTAATTCTATTTATTTTTATTGTTTGAATGTCCTTTTTGTAATGTAATGGATGATAGTTGTATCAGGTATCAGTTAAGCATGTGCTTATTGGAAGCTGTTCACTATCAGTTGTTTGGAAAAATGCCAAGTATAAATGCCTGTTTTGTTAAGTTAACCATGCTCTACTAGTTAACTAATTAGAATCTTAACTCTGATAAATCTGCAAGTAACAAAATTTTAGTCTTCGGTGCAGCATGAACCATGAGGATTATATGAATCAAAAGCCACAGATTATTTAAAAAAAAAAAAAAGAAAGAAAAGGCTCAATTACTGTAGTAATCTAACCTGTCAAATTTTGTGTGTTACTCCTAAGGAGCACTGTTTGTGTTGAGTTTAGGCTCTATGTTGCATGGATGACGTGCTACTGAAAGCAACAGATTTGAAAAAACAAGCAATATTCTACAACAAAGAATATTCTCTCTGTAGATATACATATAACCTATAGAACATTAAATATTATATTGTATATTGTGACACATTTATAGATGACTGCCTATTTTTCAAATCTGTCATAATTGCATATAAGTATTACCCCAAATTTTAAAATCCACATACAGTGTTATCCACTGTGGATAGACATAATAGTATATTTCATTTTGTAGCAAGTCTCACTTATTGCTGAAAAGATGACCTTCTAAATTCTTTGTGGTTATCAATGAACAAAAAAAGTCTGCAGCAAACAATTGAGCAATACATACACTGACCAAGTAAGGTTAAAGTATTAAGTAATATACAATAAGTTTATAATTTCTTTATGATATAACTTGAATACCTAAAAGCAACTGGGTAAAAAGTGGTAAAGACTAGGACATAGTTCTGAACTGCAAAGGATCAGGATGTATTGGGTTGGCCAAAAAGTAACTGCATATTTTTCTGAGTAACTAAAAGGTGAATTTTTCATGGAAAACAAAAACTGTATTAAACTATATATTGGCCATTTTATTAGCTTTTGCCATCTTTCAGGCAACTTCATGATTCTGCACTCAGAAAAGTGCTTATCTTTTTCGGAAAACAGCTCCAAGAATGATTTGATATCTTTATCACCAGTGAAGGTTTGTGCTTCATACGTTTCAAGACATGTATGTCCATCTATAAAAAGAAACCTGCAATTACTTTTTGGCTAACCCAATACTTTTGGATGTTCTCAATTATTTCTGTTTCAGAACATCTGGGAGGTGTTCAGACTGCAGTGATAGTAATATACATACAAATCTCATTATTATAAACTACTGGAAACTCCTGTGATACTGCACGTACACAGATCTTTTACAAATCAGAAAATATTTCTTTGTGCCTAACCCACTACAAATTGGGAAACTAGGGCTGACGACCTCTCCCTACCCTCCGGTGAGAGAAAACTCTTTCTTCTACCACAAATTCAGACATTTGCAAAGGCAAATTGACATTTAGGCATCTGAACCGAGGAAGAATTGCAATGATAAATCAGAATGGTTATCATGCCAGTATCTATCATAAAAGCAGTTTTTAAAAAAATCTCATTAAATGTTTGTTGAGAGCCACTGCTGGCCTACTGACAGTCTCTCAGGTTCTGCTCCGCTGATTATAAACTGTTGGTAACTGATGAAATATTGCACTGGCAGAGGCCCTTGCAGAATGAAACTGCATTTGTTACTTTCCTGCCACAGATATGGAAAGCTGAGCATGTCAGATGAAACTCTAAGAAGTAGTAAAAATATATTCACAAAGTCTCTGCACTTATGAACAATACTAATGACATGGGGAGGCCAAGATAAGATACCGACTGTGATGTTTGCAGCTAGCAATAGTAAACATTTATCTGTCACCAGTACCTTATCAAATGAATATTAACTTTTTCCTTCTGTCATTTTGACTTTTTTTCTTCCTCTCTTGTCTTTCTAGGTTTTTAATGACCAACAAGTTCTATGGAAGCTCAGCTAGAAATTGGTCCACTTTAGATTCAGTTGAGATTGTACAAGATGGAGAAATGTTTGCTAAATTTAATGTTTCTGCCATCTCTGCTCCTGCAGAGTATTCATTTCATTGTCAGCTGGTGGGAACAAGCAATCTCTATCCTGCAAGGCTGATTCCATCCAACAATGAGGCAAAAAATTGGGATGTTTTCATTTCCAAGTTGCAAGTGAGTACACATTGCCATTTCAGAGATAATTCCAAGAACTATTACTTGCTATTGTAGGTGCTGAGCGACACACATTCATAATGCCCTTACTTTCATTTCAGCCTGAGGGAAAATGTAACAGAAAAGCTGTTGCCCCTAGGTGAGCTATTCAATAAAGGAGTAAAAAAGACAGCAGTTGCTGAAGGATAAGAACATGAAAGCAGAGATTTGAAAAACAACAAAACTATGAAGTTGTCTGCAGAAAAGAAAAAAAACAGTAAACCCAAATGCACTTAATCAGGCAAAGAATGACTAAGTCCCCATGCCTGGTTAATGAATTGGGCTGCTGTTGGAAACATAGACTTCTTAGGTAGGTGGCTTTATGCTACTTACTTTGTTTTTAGTTGATTTCTCTGCACTTTGTTTACCTAGGAAAGTACAGCTTAGTGTGGTTACTGTTTTCAGTGACATAAACTGTCTGAACTCCTACAGACAGAAATAAAGCCCACTGCAATTAGATTTGATGGAAGGTTTGCCAAGGACTTCAACTGGGAGCAATTCTAGGTCCTGCATACCCCAGAAAATAAGTGATGGGCTTTTTTTTAATTAATGAGGCATAGATTTTCTGTGAATTTAGTGGAGTAGGACAGACTACATATGTGAGGTGTAGACAATTGCATGCTTATTATTTTAAGTATTGATCTTGACTTAGGAAAAATACATCAACATTTATATCTTAAAACAGTATTGCACCAAGGGATCTTTTTTATTAGAAAGATCATGGAAATACAATCACAGAACAGAATCATAGAATGGTTTGGGTTGGAAGAGACTTTAAAGACCATCTAGTCCAAACCCTCTGCCATGAGCACCTTCCACTAGACCAGGTTGCTCAAAGACCTGTCCAACCTGGCCTTGAACACTTACAGGAATGGGACATCTATAACTTCCCTGGGCAACCTGTTCCAGTGTCTCTCTAATCTCAGAGGAAATAATTTCTTCCTAATATCTAAGCTAAATCTACCCTCTTTCAGTTTGAAATCATTACCCCTTGTCCTATCACTACATGGCCCTGTAAAAAGTCCCTCACCAGCTTTCTTGTAGGCCCCTTTCAGGTACTGAAGCCTTCTCTTCTCCAGACTGAACAACCCCAACTCTCTCAGCCTGTCTTCATAAGAGAGGTGCTCCAGGCCTTTGATCATCTTTGTGGCCCTCCTCTTGACTTGTCCCTCTTCCCTCTAGGGCTTTATTCCATGGTACTCTCCCAGGCAGATCCCTGAAGAGGCCAAAGTCAGCTCCCCTGAAGTCCAGGGTAGTGAACTTGATGCGTGCCCTCCTCACTGCCCAAAGGATCTTGAACTCCACCATTTCATGGTCACTGCAGCCAAGGCTGCCCTTGAACTTCACATTCCCCACCAGCCCCTCCTTGTAGTAAGAACAAGGTCCAGTATAGCACTTCTCCTCGTTGGCTCCTCTATCACTTGGAGAAGTGATAGGAATAATTTCAAACTGGAATCTGTTGGTGAAAGATGAACTAGCACCATGACAACTGGATATAAATGCTGATGTAATTGTATTTATGATTTCAATAGCAAACGAAATTTCAATAATCTGAGTCCAGATTTGACATTTCTGCTTAAATGGTGGAAATCTCAAAGGAACAGCATTGGTGTTGAGATTTATTTTCCACAAATTCCAGGATCTAGTCCCACAGTTTTTGAGAAGTATCATAGCAATACACACCAATATTGTGAAGGTTCCTTCTGATGGAACTTATATTTTCCTTCAATTTCTATATACATTGATACTGCTACCTTCTCTTAGAGAGAGGCCTTGCTCCATCCTCAGTAGACATCCTATCATTGGGATCTTGATCCAGAGTAGAAGTAGTAGGTTTACCACCGTCCTTACTGCAAAAAACTTTAAAATCATGTATATTAGGATTCTTTGTGGCTAAAATATTTCTAAATTCAAAAATCAGGTGTTCAGTGTACACTTAAGGGCCATGAAAACAACAGATTTTACTTGAAGGGTTTGTCAAAGGTCAGATGATGAGAAAATTCCATTCAAAAAAGTATTTTACAAATTAACAGGCAACACAGACTAGTATAACCAAGACAAATGACACTGATCCAAACTCTAAAATTAAAACTTCCATGGTACAGAAGCCTGTATCTGAAAGGCTTTTACATTCATAAAAATTAAGAGGACCACATGTAAGTATTTTTAACTTTTCTATAGCTAAAAATGCTGCTAGGAGTCACATTTTTATTTCCCACCTAGGATCTAACACCCCCACGGAAATGATAAAGCTTCAGAAAAACAACAAAAGAACCCTGAATATACTTTATCTCCCACCTAAAAGTAGACTAGCATTTTAAGAATGTACAATTAAAGCTTTCACCTTGAAGGTTCAATAAGCATAATCCTGCTTCAAAAAAAGCCCAACAGGATTGACATAATAAAATTCAGAATTTCTGGCTTTAAATCAGAAGTGGTAAAACCTTTCTAAACCAGATATAACTATTAAGTGCTTCAGAGAGTTCTTGTAAATATGACAACAAGTGTGTATTGTTTTCCAGAATTTTAATCCATTTTCTGGATATAAACTACATAAATCATCACCTGCTTTCTGTTTGTATTGTAAATAAGTCTTTCAGACTACGTTTCATGACTCCTTTTCACATTCTTATCTGTTGTCAAAGCACTGGCTTAACAAACAAGGGCTTGGTAATCACCTGTATTCTCTAAAACTGTGCAAACAGTTATCCAACCCAAAAGCTTATTTTCACTAATCCTGCTTTAATCAGAACTCTGAAAGCAGGCAGTATTTGCAAGTTAGCCACCATGATCTGACTTGGCAATTTTCTTCTAAGAGGCCCAGAAAAGCTTGAATTGCTAAAATTGTCTTCACCTCCATAGTGCCAAAATAGCCTTTAGTTCTGCATATGATAATAGCTTTGTTAATCAGCATTCTGGAAGGTACAGACATTGGTCTTAACACAGATATTATGTAGACATTAACTTCAGTTGCCTGAGCCATGAATGAACTCAAACCCAGAGTACATGCTGTGGTAGCTTTGTATGCAAGCCACAGGCTAATTTCTCCAATGTTTCTACCAACAACTTTCCTAGGAAGTACAAACTATCACAAAGCTTTCCATTTGGTTTATAATAAAGTGTTGAGTTATTATGGAATGAGACTATAGATAACTAGAAATCCATGATCTTCTGCTTCCTTGCTTATTGCCTAGTGGGAGAAATAATTTAAAGAAAATAATCCTTTTTTATTTTATTCTATAATTTTTTATAGAAAATAGTTTTAAGGCCTTGTTTCTCTACTTGTGGATTTCTGATGTTTGGTGCTTTCCTTACACACTCATTTCAAAGAATCTGTACTTATATAAGAATCCCAGTCTTCATTTTTCATTATAAAATTATTTAAGACAGACTCAAAACCACAGATCAGATTAGTGCTTTTCTTCCTCCATTTTCTTCCACCAGTTAGATTCCCTTCCTTCTGGAGGCATCAGTGCTTATGTCATTATGTGCATGTAGGAGCTCAGTCAGATTCTCAGACCTTGAGAATCCAGTCAAAAGAGAGATATTACAGATTTTTCTAACTGCTGGAAGTGCTTACATGTGTTTCATATGTTAATAGACAACACAGATCCCACACCCCAATAAAGCAAACCTGCTCTTCTGTTTTGAGTCTCTGATGTCTAAGGAGGGGGGAAGGAAAGGTTTCACAACTTTTTCTCCTTAAACTTTCACTAAAATTCAGCCAAAAACGTCATCCTCATTAAATGCATTTTAAAGTAGGTTTCAGGAGTTCTGCGTGTCAAGGAGTTATTAGCTAAAAATCTAAGAGTATTTAAACAAATCTCATGATCTGGAAGGGTGTGCTTAACTTTCATGCTTTTGAGTGCTTTGAGTTTTCTGGTAGTTAAGTGGTCATTGAGTAATACTGATCATATGTCCCCTTTGGGACTTCCTAAAGTTACACAGATTTTTGAAGTGGGAAACCTATCTCTTGCAAAATGAATGAGTTCTGCATCTTTAATTTTCTGTGTGAAAGGGGCACCTGCAAAATTGTTATACGGAGGATTTGCTTCTCACTCTTTTATAATGGGCAGAGTGTGAGTGGTAATTAACAGGTGTGGTTTTTTGTAATTACCACATACATCCTGAAAGTAGGGCCTACACTCCATGCTTAATTGCACTCATCTGTCTGCCTTTCTTCATTCTTAGATTCAAGGCTTCAACATTGAAAACCAGCAGTTTTCCTACGCAAGTGACTGTACAGACTTCTTCACTCCTGGAATCTGGATGGGCTTGGTGACATCTATAGTTTTACTGTGGATCCTGGCCTATGGAATCCATATGATCATGCAACTCACAACAAACAGCAGATTTGATGATCCCAAAGGTCCAGCTCTGTCAGTTCCTCAGACAGAATAGTTATGGATTCATTTAATGCTGCTGCAGCTTATCCTGGCCTGATATTTATAATTTTAATAACCTTTTATGTCATAATATGTGTAACTTAAAAAGATATCGTAATAGAAAGGAGTAATTAAACTACATATAAAAATGATACTTATGCTTGGTAACAGTAATAATTCTACTTGTTATTACCATCATTTGTTAATAGATATCTGAGGTGAAGCTGTAAAGGTTATTACTCTATCTGGCTATTACAAAGGCCAGTACAAACTGCCTTCAAATTAACTATTATTGACAAAGAAAGGATATCACAACAGAGGTAAATGGGAAGGATAAATAACTTATTTGATAGGAAACTATGCATTGAAACCACTGGCAATGAATGCAACTTTTCAAGCTTATAACCTAAGAGGAAGAGAGCATCTTAACAGAAATAGTCATTTCTTTAGCATCCCTCCTTTTCTAGGTATCTTTGGAATAGTTATGAAGTTTGTACAAGAAAGGAAAAAATAAATTATATAAAGTCATTAGAAGCCAATTGTGCTAACGTACTGTTTATCTGAGAATGTTTATGGTAATCTCAGTGATACCAGAAGCCTGAGAACATTTGGAGTGTGCTGGATTCTTTTGCAATTAATAAAAGATGCTACATCTTCTCACTGGGCAGTCTGACTATGGAGTGAATTACTAAATGTTATGAAAAGCTAGGAAATAGTAAAGGAGCAATGGTAAACTGGTAAAAAATGGTGAAAATAGCATTTCCATTCTCCTGTTATGTTTTGTTTTGACTATGCATGTTCTATTAGTAGTTAAAGAAGGAAAAGATATCATTTTGATAAAATTACTTTTGTCACATGAGAAGAATTCTAACTTTTCTGATCTTGATCCATGTCATAAAACAATGATACAGAGGAAACACAGTTAGAATCAACTGTTCAGCTAGACCAACCCAGTTTCTACCCATCATACCTGGATGTCACATTTTTATTATGCAGTCAAAGAGGTAAATTAAATGCTGTCTGAAGCTATTCCTCCTGAATCATTCAGTCCTGACCTGGAAAACAAAAAGAAAGCTGGCATGTAACTAGCAGAGGTGACTTTTCTGCTGTAATATTTTTCCCAAATGTTTTTCAAAACCTCAAAGACTGCTGGTATTTGATCTACAGAAAAACACTGTGTAAGAAAGGCACATTTTCTCTGCAAAAAGTAGTCACCAGGAGAGACAACTGGACTTGTTTTATTAATTCCCTCTTCAAAGCAAGTTACGTGAATGTGACATTGAAAGTTGACATAATAGTCATGTAACTGATAGCTAGAAGAGTGGGAAGCTATTACAAAGGGCTTGGTTTGTAGAAGATAGATTTCTTACGACTTTTATCTAGATTTGGTAAAATTTGGAACAGATTTTGTTTAACAGTGCTAATATATAGGAACTAAAGAACAGCTTTACAAGGCCACCCAGCTCAAGATCCTATCTCCAGCAGTGGTACGAGTTCAGTAATCATGTGATAGTACCTCCTGCAGATGTTCCATTTAAGCTTTTAAGCTTAAATTCCATTTAAGCACCATTTAAGCTCAAGTGATATCTTTGTATTTAATAACTCTGGGTATAGTTATAGTCTATGAATTTGTTCAGCTTCCCTTTGAGCCTGTGGACTCTCCTAGAGCTCACAGTGTTCCTGGTTGTAGTGTGTGGCACTGGGGATACCTATACCCTCCCTTGCTCACCTGGGCTGAACTCTGGAGAAGAGGAGAAGGAAACAGAGTCTCATATAGGCTGTACCATGGCGAAGAGGTAAGCCTTGTTCAGAGGAGGCCAAGCTGGAACAGATGTTGGAAGAGACGTATGCTGAATTAGCTTTTTGCTTCTGCTGTAAAACTGAAGCCCTCAGAGAAGGGCCAGACTGAATTGCGTGCTGTGTTTGATATTGCACATTCCAGGGCAAAGGGGAAGGCATTTTCTGGAGAGAAGTGTTTTTTCCTTCTACCTTCTCTCACAGCAATGATCCCACGAATACAGGCAAATGGGGTCTGTAGGGGCATCCCTGTGACGGGAAGCTCAAGCCGTGTGTTGTAGCCCTGGATATGACAGGGTGAGGTCTTGTGAGGTCTGTTCTGGGAAAAACAGCAGAAAAGGAAGGGAACTACCACAGGAGGCCATGCACTGGTCTCTGGGGACAACGGCCAGTCCCTCCTAGAAGAGGATCAGCTGCTCTTTGTCCACTCGTTGTGTGCTGACCTTGGCTGGCTGGCAGATGCCTACCCAGCCGCTCAGGCCTGTTCTCACAGAGGCTACCCCTGCTGCCAACATCTGGACACAGATGCCCAATTCACCATATCAGGGGGCCATTTGTGTGCTGCTGGAGTCCCCATGCCATCCTGAGCTCCTGCAGCTGCACATCACGCTGCCTTGTGGTGAGAGACAAAGACAAATGATGTCTGATTTCAGCAGGGCTGGATTCCATCCTTTTGAATAGGACTGGGCCTCAAGAAATTCTGGCAGGATTTTGCACCTGCCTGTGTTTGTTTACCTTGCTGAATAGAATTAGAAATCCGTCAGGGGCCTTCCAGTTCTGTGTACTTCTAATTTCATAATTCAGCTTAATCACAGGTGTACTTGTTAAAACATGTCTGTTTCGGGAGCAGTTCCAGCCAGAATATTAGCTCTGTCTGGAAGATGTGAGCCTTTAGGACTTCCCCCAGAGCTCACTGAAGTTATCAGAAGTATTGACTTCTGTGTGCGCTAGATCATTTCTCTACAAAGTAATTTAATAAAGATGGATGGGACGATGGAAAAGAGCATCAGATAGAGAAGTAGAAGCTTTTTTTTTGCTTTCAAATATATAAATAAATGAAACTATCAAGAAAAAATATCAGAAACTATCAAAAAACTGTGGCACAACCTGAAAAAATGCATTTAAATGTGAAAAATCAAGATCAAAAGCAGAGAAAACCCAAACCTAAACACAAAAGTCCTGAAACCATAAATTAAGGTATTCCCTCACAAAATTCAGCAACAATCACTTGTTGGAGGGTAAAGCTGAGACGGAGCTAAGATCTAAACCTCCTGATCTGATACAGGTTTGTTTCTGTCCTGGTCTATTGGTTTCTTGGCTTGTAAAATTAGTTATTTCGCAAACTATGTGGAAAGCTAGCAGTGTCTTATAATTAAACAGAATTGTAATATAGTCCAAGAGTAGTATTTTTATGTAGGCAGTAAAGGAAGAGAAGTCATTCCAGCTGCCAAGGGAAGACTCAGTGAAGTAATTGGCTCCTCCTTTTGTTCTGGGTGCCTGATAAATAATGAATATGCAAATCAAAATCAGCTGAATTATTACGCAGTATCCATGCATTAGAGGGCTTTGCAGTTATTTCAGCATAAGCTGGGGTTAAGCAAGGGAAACTAGAGGTGCTGAAAATAAGGAATGACCATGAAAATCTAACTTCTAAGATAATCAGAGGTACAAGAAGCAGCCTGGATATTGGAAACAGGTCACTGCTGGCAGAAAAGTAGCAGTAGTCTCAGCAGGTGGTGATGCTTGTGGGGATAAGTGTAGTGATAATCTTATCCTTACACTGAACAAGAGGATGAGACTGTTTTTCTGTTGCATCCTGTGGTAGGTTGACCTTGCCCAGTTGCCAGATGCCCACTTGGCTTCTTTCTCATTCCTTCAGCAGG